TGAACCAGGAGGTCAGGTTTTGATTCCTGGTCAGGGCACCTGCCCGGATTGCGGGCTTGATCTCCAGTAGGGGGCGTGCAGGAGGCAGCCCATCAGTGGTTCTTTCTCACCATTGATATTTCTATCTCTCTCTCCCTCTCCCTTCTGCTCTGAAATCAATAACATATATATACACATACATATATATATACCCTTCAACATTTCATGTAATACTGGCTTGGCAGTGATGAACTCCTTTAGCTTTTTCTTGTCTGTGAAGCTCTTTATCTGACCTTCAATTCTAAATGATAGCTGTGCTGGGTAGAGTAATCTTGGCTGTAGGTCCTTGCTATTCATCACGTTGAATATCTCTTGCCACTCCCTTCAGGCCTACAAAGTTTCTGTTGAGAAATCAGCTGACAGTTGTATAGGTGTTCCCTGATGGGTAAACTAACTGCTTTTCTTTTGCTGCTTTTAAGATTCTCTCTTTGTCTTTAACCCTTGGCATTTTAATTATGTTGTGTCTTGGTGTGGGTCTCTTTGGGTTCCTCTTCTTTGGGACTCTCTGCACTATCTGGACTTGTAAGTCTATTTCTTTCACCAGGTAGGGGAAGTTTTCTGTGATTATTTCTTCAAATAGGTTTTTAATTAGAGGCCTGATGTACGAAATTCCCAGGCACAGCTTTGTCCAGAAGGTGATCAGGAAGGTCATCCAGACAGTTGTTCCACTCTTTGGGCATTCGGTCAATTTGCATATTAGGCTTTTATTATTATAGATATCTTGCTCTCTATCTTCTCCTTCTGTGGGCACCCCCATAATACAAATGTTGGTATGCATGAAGTTGTCCCAGAAACTCATAATATCTTCACATGTTTTAAAAATTATTCTTTATTACATTTTCCCCCCATTAGCCCCTTCCAGCCCATATGCAACCCCCACTCCAGGCCTTTACCATCCTATTGTCTCTGTCCATGGGTTATGCATATACTAGTTGTACCAGTTAATAATGCAGATTTTTTTAATAGATGGAGTACACGTATGTTGATATATATGCGATTTGATACGTATGCTATTTTGTTGTATTGACAGAAAGCTTCAAAACTTCATATGTCAAATTTGCTGAAGGTGTTAACATCATAGATATTTTTATGCTTAAAAATGTCAAATTTCATGCCCAAAAAAGAGCATTTGTGGGAAGTTTTAATTCATTGCTTTATTTTGAAGAAAAGTGCTGTTGAATAGTTTGGGAAGCTTATGGTGAACATGCTCCATGTCAAGATACTTGTGAACGATGGTTTAAATGCTTTAACAGTGATGATTTTGATGTGAAAGACAAAGAATGTCCAGGTCAACTGAAAACGTTTGAAGACCAACAATTACAAGCATTATTGGATGAAGATGTGTGTCAAACTCAAAACAACTTGCAGAAAGATTAAACGTTGCTCAGCAAACAATTTCTGATCATTTACAAGCAATGGGAAAGATTTTAAAGGAAGGAAAATGGGTGCCACATCAACTGAACGAAAGACGAATGGAAAACCGAAAAGTCATCAGTAAAATGTTGCTTCAACGGCACGAAAGTAAGTCTTTTTTTGCATCGAAATGTGACTGGCAATGAAAAGTGGACTTATTTTGAGAATCCCAAATGCACAAAATCATGGGTTGATCTAGGTCAACCACCAACATCGACTGCAAGGCCAAATCACTTCAGAAAGAAGACAATGCCCTGCTTTTGGTGGGATTGGGAAGGTGTGGTATATTATGAGCTTCTAAAACCAGGTGAAACCATTAATGCTGATTGCTACCGACAACAAATAATCAATTTGAACCACACTTTGATCGTGAAATGACCAGAATGTGCCAGAAGACACAGCAAAGTAATTTTGCTTCATGATAATGCACCATCACACACTACTTCAAAACTTAAAAACACGTTAAAAGATCTTGCCTGGGTAGTATTAAGCCACCTGCTGTATTCACCAGACCTTGCTCCTTCAGATGACCACTTGTTCCAATCGATGGCGCACGCACTTTCTGAGCAGCACTTCAAAACGTACAAAGAAGTGGAAAACTGGGTCTCTGAATGGTTTGCCTCAAAACAAGAAAAGTTCTATTGGTACGGTATCCACAAATCACCTGAAAGATGGGGGAAATGTGTAGCTAGGGATGGACATTACTTTGAATAAAGTACTTTTGATGTTTCTCTTGAAATTATCTTGTTTTCTTTGATTACAAAATCCAAATTATTAGCCGGTACACCCAGTACACTTATCTTTATAGAAACAATTTCCAGGCTGACAAACACACATTATCAGGGTGGGTCAGTTTCTATTGAGTAGAAGAGTTACTGGGAGCAATGATAGCATCCAGAATTGATTAGGTTGTAAAGTGGTAGGCAGGTATTTTATGTTATTTAATTCTTACAGTGATCCTATGACTGAACTCTCGTCCTCCCTTTAATTAAATGAATTTTTAAAATGGACATGGTAAAAATATTCAAAATATATTAAGGAGTAAATAATGAAAAGAAAGTCACCTTTTTACACCTGATCACCCGTTGTTTACCCTTCTCAAATATAACCCTGGTTGTATCCTCATACACTTTTTTCTGTACATACATAAGCATATATGTAAAAATTCTTTTTTTTATACAAATGGTAGTATGCTTTATACAGTTCTGAATTTTTTTCAGTATATCCTGGAAATGAACTCATATGAATACATATAGCTTTGTTTCATTTCCATCAGTTGGCAGTTGCATGGTCTCCACTGTGCGGCCAAACTTTCATTTATTTAATATCCAAACTTTTATTAATGGACATTGGGTAGTCTCCAACTTTTTGCTATGACAACCCATGCCACAAATGAATATCTTTTTTAATGCCTCAGAGTTTTTTGTTTCTTTTTAATCCTCACCAAGGATATATTTTTAAATTGATTTTAGAGAGAAACATCCATGTGAGAAATATTGATCAGTTGCCTCCCCTATGCACACCCCCCCCCCCCCCAGGGAATTGAAACAGCCTGTGTACGTGCCCTGACCAGGGATTGAATCCCTGACTTTTCAGTGTATAAGACGATGTTCCAACCAACTTAGCCTCACCGGCCAGGGCTTGGAGTTTTAATTTTATTTAACTAAAATTTCAAAATTGAAGCAATTTAAAATTTTTTCATTATATATAACTTATTTTGAATAAATTGGGTTAAATTAAAATTTCACCTTTTAATTTTTAATGTAAAATTTAAAGTTGTATATGTAGCTTGGATTATGTTTCTATTAAATAGTACCGATTCGATTGTCACTGTCCAATGGTGGTCTAATACCCACACTGGATTTAGCTCCTTGAGGGTAGGAACCCAGTCTGTCTCGATTTCTCTTGTGTCCCCATAATCAACCAACCTGGCATGACATAGGTGCTAAAAACATTTGTTTAATGAGTGAGCAGATGAATGACCCCATTCTCTCCCCAGAAGATATGTATGCTTCCCAGCTTCAAGTCTTATTGATCATCTTCTTGGAAGGACAGATCGGGTGGGAAGGGTACTGACTGGGTTTATTTGACCAGAGGTCCTTGCAGTTCCAGCCAATTACCTCGGTAATCCCCTTATGGAGTAGGAGTAGCAACCTTCCCCCCCCCCCCCCCCCCCCCCCCCCCAACAATGTTTATTTGAAGTAACTTATGCGTCTGGACTCCGGGGGCCTGATGAGCTCAGTGATTAGACAGGTGCTTTTATGGCCAAGGTCAAAGGCTCTTTCCCCGATTAGCCCTTGAGTGGGGAGCAGCCAGAGGCCTTCCTGACCAGCAAAGAGAGAGGGGGGAGGGGCAGGAAAAGAAGTGGGATTGGAAACTCCCTCCCAACCACCCTTCAGAGAGTTCAAACACTGCAAGCCTGT